ACTGGCGGTGGGTGTGTGTATGGCCCCTGGTTTTCAGGGGTTAAGCGGGTTAGGCGGGTTAAGAAGTGACGCCCAGCCGGCTGCAGTCAATTTGCTTTAACACCTTGAGACAAAGCCCACAAAAGTGAATTTAGCGCTTTCGATACTCGAACCTTCTGCCGACACCGCCCCAAAAAAAAGCAATCAAGTGAGAATTAAGAGAGTGAAAATCACTTCCTTATCCTTGCAAGTTATAACCGGATACTCCTAAGCAAATTCCTAGAAAAATCACCAAAACTAGCTATACAAATTTAAAATGATAGAGGGAAACATTTTGTTTATTGCCCATAAATCAAAAGCGTTTCTTTGGCATCATTTTAAACGAGTTTCCAATCAATTTAGTTCATTAAAAAAAGACCAAAGAACAAGAATTCATTAGGTCTTAATTAGTATAAAATATGTTTCGATGAATCATCATTAGGAATAAAAAAAAAATGTAGGCAAAATAAATTCGCTTATGCAAATTAGTAGTTTGTTCAGAAAATTAAAATAGCTCAGAATTACATAAATTGCTAAATAATTTTGTTAGAGCTAAAACGTGAACTTAAAACATTACAATGTATAATATGAAATGATTGTTCGGTTGCAATCTAAATAAATTACCATTAACTAGCATTTTTTGCACCAGTTAACTAATTCTATGAATTTGAGACAAAGTATCTGGCGCTGGGAATGAATTCTAATTGAGCGCAGATATTTGATCTCACTACTGATTTGGATGAGGGATCTCTGCACTTCCTAATTACTCAATCAATCAGGGAGCTCCACTCAGCCATGATGCAGTTGCAGTGATCTCAGTCCGGCTAAATGATCGCCGATCGGATTGCATCGGCTTCCCTGTAAATGTATCTGTATCTGTATCTGCATCTGTATCTGTAGCTGTATCCGTATCCGTATCCACTGTACCGTTTATACAATGATAACTGGGCAATTAGGTGATGGCCGTAATTACGGACAAATTACCCCAAAGGGAGTCTCTGCCAATCCGACAATCCGGCAATCCGGCAGTCCGCTGAGTTCTGTATTCTGAATTCTGAAGTCTGACAACCTTCATAAGCGCTTGCATGATTGCCATATTTAGCTAATCTATCAATTATTGCATACAACTAATTGAAAATGGTTTAGGCAAATAATAAAGTCAAGTCAGCGAAGCGTGTCGAAGTCAGGGTCACGTGATCCGTGATCCGTACTCCCCGATCCGGAATCCGTAACTTTCTGGGAATTCTCGTTACGTATATTATGCAAGGGCTTAGAAAGCAGTTAAATCGGTTTAAAGTGAATATATTCATAATCTTTATAGGGCAAAAAGAAAACGCAGAACTGGATCAAAAATCTATTAAATAACAAAATAAAATGCATGATTGCGATAATTAATGAGAGGTTTTTTTCAGCTATCTTAAACGTTTTCCAGACCATTGAAAAACGAATCTTCCGTTTGCGTGTCGTTTCCACATTCACAAGTTTGCCTTTTTGCGCAATAAAATGTGTTATTTATTTATTTGTTCCTGAAAATATTATTTATTTAATTAATTTAATACTCTTCGCATTTTTTTATTTGCTTAATAAACGAAATGCGAACGACGACGACGAATGGCCTACAGTGTGTACTCTGCGTGTTTGCTCTTCTCATTTTGATTAAATGCTGTTTCTTTATTTAATCAAATGAGAGTGGGTGGTTGGGTGGTTGGGTGCTTGGCTGGGTTGGGTTTTTTTTTTTTTTTTGGAGAGCAGATGTAACAGGCACAGATGTAACAGGCAAAAGTGCAACGTCAGAGAGCAGGAAATGATGATGGAGTAGCGAACCCCATGGGCTGAATGCCCTCGATGGGGAATTCTCAAGAAATTACGTTGCCCTCTCCGCCCGCATCTTCAATGTGTTTCAATTAAATGGCAAATTAATATTTCGGCACGATGAAATAGAAACGAACGGCGAGGATAATCAACCGGGGAAATGTGTGTTTACTGGCTATAAAAATAATATTCCGAAACAAACCAACTTTATTGCCTATTTTACTTTGCCTACATGGCGTATGAGTTATGTCAGTATTTGCTGATTTTAATTACACTCGATAAGCTACCTGTTTTTGTCAAAAGATGCAAAAATAATCCTTTTTTATGGCTTACAGAATAACTGGCCGTTAATCAGCCACTAAAACTAGAAATTGCTTAGGCAAACAAATAGTTTTTTTTTCATTATTTCGCAATGGAAAACATAAACATCTCTGGGTTTTAATTATTTGCCATGCCACCCTCTACAGTACAGAATAATTTGAAGTGCAAACAGGCAAATAAACAGAACTAGCGAGCAAACAAAGTTTATAGAGTTATATACGAAACGGTAGCCAAGTGCCCTGTGTGCACATCGTTCAGATCCGCACTTCTATATGCACGAGTATATGTTATATGCATGTCTCACTGGACCTGCCTGCTAAATTGCATGAATTAGGCGCCATTAGTTATCGCATTTATATAACTCACAGTAAAAGTAAAGTAAATATATATGGAAAAAAGGAAACAAAACAAAAAAAATGAAGCAAGAAAATATTGTTACGAAATGCAAATAAATAGAATGTCAGCGCTGCGTTGAGCAAGCATTAAATGTCGCTCACGAATCCGAAAGATACAGCTGAGCGGATGGGGGTTTCAGCTCTATACACAGATTCATCTAAAGATAAGTTTACATATATATGTATCTATATATATAATATTTAACTGTTGATATAAACACTAACATTAATCCTAAACTGCATGCGTGCTTTCAAGATCTCGACCGTTGGTCGTCTATTTTGGTAATTGGTGGGAGTTATATCTATTAGGCTTTAACGTGCACTCGTAATAATATAGAGCGAAGTAAATGGTTTTGCATGAATGGGAGACCAGTTGTTGCTAGAAAGGAAATAAAACTAAAATATGACCAGGGAGCTTTTACACCCAAGGGCTATAACCTATATATGATAAAGTTCTGGGCTTTGATTCCGGTTCGATCGGGCCAAGACCAGTTCAAAGCGGTCTTTGTCACTTGTTAGTTAATACGGCTCTTTATGATGTAAACACATTCGATCGGCTCACATCAGCTGTGACCATTATTATACACATTATAATTGATGCATATGAATTCTGATTTTATTGCTTTTGCATGGAGCAATAGACTTGAAATTTGCATTTAAACAGCGCGGTGCAGGATGGTAATGCAGTTGAAAATAGTATTTATTTTAAGACTATAAGTTAAATTAATATTTCCCAACATCAACTAGTTCACTACAATAGTTTTTATTTCGGCGAAATAAAATGGGAGACCAAAATAAAATCCAGCTTAATATTCACATTAGTCTGTAATGATTTTATAAGGTTTCTATAGTGCCGAACCGCACTGTATTTTGTCAGTCTAGTCCAGGGAATTATAATCGCATTAGACCAATCTCAAGCGTGTATGGATGCTGCCAGCTGTACCAACTGTTCCGATCTTTATCGAATTCTTTTTTACCCAGTAATTGGGATTGCAGAAATGTGTTCAAAAAACCTAATATTTTTCTCTAATTTTAAAGTGGCATACTAAGTGTCTCGTTGAAATCGTTCGGCCAAACCCAACATATTCAGCCAAAACTCACTTTGAAGTACCAGGCGTACAGAATGGAATAGTAGGTGGCTACTAATAAGATTTTTTTAATTTCCAGATGAGTCGGGAGAGCAGTCCGCAGCAGTCCTTCTGCCTGTTTTTCGCCACAACCATGACCTGATGGTATATGGTAACAAAACAAGAGTACATTGGTTATCATTAGTTTCACCAATTCCCAAATTGTTAAGTGTATATCTACGAACCAGTAGCTCCTTAAGATATGTCCTTTTTAAATATATTTATTATTTCTCTTTTCTGATTCATCGATCAACGAGGGCAGCTGGAAGCCAAAGAACATGGTTAAGTTTCGGGCAAGCATTATTAACATTAGAAACTAACTTATTATTTATTTAGAAATCGAATTACGTATTGAAGATAATAAAAATGAACTAGTGAAATAATTGATTGTTTTAATGAGAAAGTTGGGCGTGTGCGGGATTTTTTAGACACCAGGCAAACAGAAACGCCAGCATTATAATAATACAGCAGTATTTTTAACTAATCGAACTAATATTTATTTAACGCAACCTTCTACAGATTATGTTCACCTGGTGTCTGAAATCCAATCATTCGATGGAAGACAACGAGTTCGATGAGTATTGCAACATTCAAATTTAGGTCAAAGTGAATTTTTTGTCAATTTTAGTTTCTAAATTCCGTTTTAGCGAATTTTAAAGATCAGCATTCAGAAATAAATTTGCACAAAGGTGGAACACGTCGGGTCGAGTGCAGATTTATTACTTTTTATATTTTGAATTTATCGTTTGTTGTGACTCGACTTTCGTCAGCTAATCGCTGTTTATTGTATTACGACACGGCGCGAGGCAAACAGACAGCGGCCCAGAAAACAAATAGAGTCACACGTATTCTATAACATCTCATGGAAAGCGGAAACTATTCGCTAACAACTTCCAGCAGGTTGTTATATTTCATCATCTATATACGTAGTATTGCCACATATTTGTTCGATAACTAGAATGGAGCCAACTTAATCGCATTTCTTAATGGGATTGTTCAAGGATTTAGGATAAAAGAATAAATTATTTTAACCAAACGATATCTCAAGCGCTTTCTGCGCCAAGCTAGAGTGCTTAATTTGAAGCACACAAATGATTCACATGACAATTGCACACCACGTGCATTTAACAATTCATTTATTAAGAGAACCCGCTGAACCCAAATTCGCAAAAATTGTAAATTTCGCGAGATCTGCAAAGTCAGTTTGGGGAGGGGAAATCACCTTATGCCGGCGAATCATCACGCGCAATTGCGAATGAGTTCAGTGAATTCGGCGGTGGACGTGGACGTGGACGTGGGGGTGACTGCTGGTGACTGCTGACTGGTGGCTGTGATCTGGGGATGGCGCCGCATCTGATCCTTCGGCAAATACCAGAAGGGGATTACGATTACTGGGCTAAGTTCCCATTTCCAGCTAAGGTGGCTTATCGCCAGCGCCACCAAAAATAACCAAAAAACGAAAAACTAACAAAGTGAACAAAATAAATTCAAGTAAGCACTTCTGGCATTCGGATTCTGTGTTTCTGTTTCGAGTGCATGAATATGAAATATTTCGCTTTATTTGACAATCATTTAGTTGGGAGCCATAAACAGTGGGACGCGCCATTGAAGCCGAGCAAACACCACCAAATCAGGCCATAAAAACAGAGCAGCCGCATACTATAAACTAGGCAAATAGAGGGATCTCCTCGCGAACCTCTCCTCCACTGTCAGGGTCCACTCCTCCACTGCTCCAGTCCACTCCACCCCTTCGTCTCTCCTTTCTCCTCAACTGGTATACACCGTGAGGTAGACCGTGGTACAGGTCTTTATGTTCCCGGTGCTCAGATGGATAACGGCCTTCAGGTCACCGGCGATGTCAACACGCGGCATGTGCGGCACGAACCCATGGTTGGTCGTGTTGCTCAGCGTGTAAATATGCTAAAGATACCAAAAAAAATTAAATATAAATAAAACAAAATCAATGAAAGATTAAAGTAATTGCTTGAATTTAAGTAATATTTTAAATGGAACATATTTACAGAGAAAAGGAGATTCCTGTGTAAAACCTTTTCCTAAAATTGCACAGAATATTTTTTTTACTCACCCCCTTGTTAGGCGGACATTTCCTTTGACTTTTGGGAACTTTAATGACGAATGGACGCCAAACCTCCAGCGGATTATTCAAAGCCTTGCACAAGTCATTCCGTTTTTGGGCAAGAGGAGTTTGGAGCCACTGGCCTCGTTCCCAGCGAAATAAATCAGCCTGCATTGTGATCGGACCCTTTGGCAGGTCAATCAATACTCTCACATCGCCGTTAAAGTATAAAGTTTCCAGATCATCGGCCATGTCGAAGGTTAGATTGCTTACATCAAAAATCTGGTTAAATGGGATATTTCCCTTGTCATCCTGTGGATCGCATTGGACTTTTAAGGTCTTTTCATCGACGATTATCTCGTAGTTGAGGCTCTAAAAAAAATTATAATTAAATAGAAAGTCCTCTCTGAAAACAATAATGACTCAGGATTAAACGCAAAACATACCCGAATTCCTTGCAGTAATTGCAGGCCGCAGAGCAGGCCAAATCTCCAGCTGACCCACTTCTCCATTTCGTGGTGTTCCAGACTCTCCGGCTAGTGCAACAATTTATAGCGCCCTCGACTAATTGCCGGCCAATTAGCCAACGCCATTCGTATTGTTGAACTAATTGCCAAATTAACTTGTACATATTCTGTATAATTGCCGATGCAGATACTTTAAAATGCCATTCAGATTCACCGATCGTAGGCACCCTCAAAAAGGCGAAAATAATCGAAAAAAAAAAACGGAGCACACTGAAAATAACAAATGGGGAAATCAACATTCGGCGGGCGTAATCCGGAAGGTCGGAGCGCGGGGATTCGTCCGGAAGTGGGTCGTCGTCTCAATGGAACACCCATGTACGCCTACATCACGCATACGTCGTGTGCGCCTGCGGGACAACGAGTGCGCGTAGCCAATAAAAACAAAGCAAACGCACTTGACCCTGGACAACCGACCGACCGACCGACTGGGGCTTGGTTCGCCGATTCTGTTTGTAGGCCATGGCTGCCGTAAAATATTAATCCGGTCCGCCACACGACGCCCGCTATCCAAGTTATCCGATAACGGAGAGCCTCTTCGCAATGGCCATAAAGCAAGAACAGCAGCACGCGTGTCCACAGCTTATTTTTTATAACCTGGGAGTGGAGTGAAGAGCTCTGGCACCACAGCATACTTTTTGGGATGCACTTAAAGTCACTTAGTGGTGAAGTAGAAACCTTCCACTTAAACAACTCAACCAATTACATTTATAACCTTCAGGTCTTGAGCACTTTATTTTTTTCGGTCTTTCGAACGCTTAATTTACAATTTCATATTTGTTGCACTTACACAGAAAACTAAAGCTTAAGCTGGACATTTACATTAACATTACTAAGTGTGCAAAAAACAGGATAATTACAGTGCCAGACTCCCTGCAAAATCTCTGCGAAACCTAACCTAACATCTTTTTCTAAATTCTCTTACAATTCATCACGTGTTGTTTCGAGGATTGTCTTTTGCTTGGACTAAACATAGTTTAAATTACTTCTAAATAAAACACCTTGGCGTGTTGCTAGTCTTGAATCAGTCTGTCGAATTTCCGGGCTCTAATTTCTGGTCCGTATTATCGCTTTCTATGGCTCGCTTTCCGTAAAGCAAAACCTTAGCACGAATGGGTTTGCAACCGGAAAAGCTAGGGTCGCTTCCTCTGAGAATTTCCTCCACGATCTCATCATCCAGTTGCAGACCCTCAATACTCGCTTCCCTGCGGATGCAGTCGAGCAGATGGATGGGTTCTAGAGGGGCATAGGCAATCACATGGGCGTGTGGCAGCTGCTTCAGGCTCTTCATATCCGCCTTAAAGGCCTCGTCGGACTGCAAGCGGTTCACACTGAACATAATCACCACAGTCAACTGCTTCATATGCGGCTGCTGTGTGCCATTGGAAATCTCCTCGCGCGCCCTTATAAGCTCGTGAATTTCTTGCACATCCTGTGCATCCTTGGGTGTCATGTTGTCAATCAGAATGAGGTTCTGGCCGCAATGAACGAGATTGGGGAGCATGCTCTGCACACGACGCAACGGACGAGCTGTGTCCCACGAGAGGGTCTTTACGTTCTCCGGCCAGGGAAAGTGATTGCGCAACACACTCGCCGTGAGGCTCTTTCCCACGCCAGAGGATCCCACCAAAGCGATGATCTGGTTAAGTTAATCGAAAACTATGACTTAGTATGCAATAGCTGTAAGGCAATCCAAAGTTACCTGGTGGGTGGTGTTTTCCAGTGCCTGCTCCAGCTGTTCCAATGCCAGATCCTGGTGGAATACGTGGTGCCTGGCCTGAATGGCCATGTTGCCTAGTCGCTGCGCGCGCTCGCAGTAGTTCTCCCGATTGTTGACGATGGAATGGTACTGGTTCTTGTAGCTCTCCAGGAATCCACCGATAGTCGGCGAGTTTTCATCAAGCTGCAGGCACAGGCAAAGTCCTGCGCAAATGATGAGAAGCAGGCCCAACATCCACAGGGGACTCCGCTTTGGATCCATTTGTTTCTCCTGATCACGACGTGGTCGCTTTTGAACGCTCTGCTCGGCGCCAGCCAATCGACGAAGGCCTCGTTGAAGCAAACTAGAGCCAGTTCTCCACGGTTTTGGAGAAGGCTTGTCCCGCTTCTTCGAGAGTCGCTTCTTAGTCTTGTGGAGCACTGAGGCACCCTGGATTGGTGTTTTGTCTGTTGCCATAAAATCACTCACTCGGTTCTCGAGCGAACTAAATTTTGGTGTAAACTATTGCAAAAGATAAGAAATATATAATAGGTATTACTAAGCGTTGTGTGAAATTTGAGTTGTTGACCTTACGAAACAACAAATGGAACTGCTGGGCTCGTGTTCGTTCAGAGATGAAACTAATATTAGCCTACTTTGCTTACTTATTTGGAATAGCGCTTATAACCGGCAAAAACATAAACATTTAAACGCTGCCTCATGAACAATGTTGGTAAGCGCTGCATTTACAGCTACATGTGGTATTTATCATAGCGATAGTTTTTAATTGTATATTAAGTTATTTCAAAAAAAGCCTTATTAATATTTAAATTGCCTAACTTCTTTGAATCATAGAAGAATAGACATTAATAAAACAATAACTAATTGCTAAATACGCTACGAAAAAATGCCGACGTTTCGGTATATTTTGTGAGCTGCATTTTTGCCACCGAATCCAAACGGCACCTTACAACACTGGCTGCGAGTGTGCTGTGCGAAAATCATCTGTCGTCCTGCGTATCCAGCAAGTAATTTATTAATCAATTTAAACCAAACGTCCCTAGCCAGTCAATCCGATCCGCAATGACAAATGAGGACGTGGGCACAAACAGCGTCGCTGACCGCCTGCAGGTGGGTCCGCGTGAGGGCGTCACCTATCCGATCCAGATGAAGTACTGCGGCCACTGCACGATGCCCATTGAGGTGAGCAAATTGAAAGCCAAGTGGAAATTCCATTTATTCTATATGCATTTTTCATGCACAGTACTGCGAGTATTACCCGGAGTACGAGAAATGCAAGGAATGGCTGGAGCGCAACATGCCGGATGATTTCGAACGTCTAAAAATCGAGGAGGAGGCTGCCGCCGCCGATGGAACGGATGACGACAAGAAGCGCCAAAAGCGCGGCGGCAAAGGACTGCTGCGTGTTAAGAAGAAGGAGGACGTGCCCAAGCGCATCTGTGTCTCACGTGCTGCACGTGGCAAAAAGAAGTCCGTGACCGTGGTCACAGGATTGAGCACTTTCGGTGGGTATTATTGGCAGTACAAAAACCGGTTCCGTTTTATAATCACAAATCCTTAAAACTCAACGCACAATTAATCAATTGTATTTAGCCGTTTATTATATATAATATTATATTATCATCTATGATTTCTTTCCCCTTTCAGACATTGATCTCAAAGTGGCCGCCAAGTTCTTTGGCACAAAGTTCGCCTGCGGTTCTTCGGTTACCGGCGACGATGAGATTGTTATCCAGGGTGACGTCAAGGATGACTTGTTTGATGTCATACCCGAAAAGTGGGCCGAGATCGACGAGGACGTCATCGAGGATTTGGGCGATCAGAAGCGAACATAAATAATTTAATTTCTTAGCTTATTTTATATGCTGCATCAAAAATAAAAATATGAAACGTTAAACGTATTATGAATATGTTTTATTATGTTGCCTGTTCCCCAGGCCCTTTCCCTTCCGCCTTGGGTGCCACTAGATTGGATTGGACTACCATTTGAATGGCGGAAGTTGTGTCCTCAGCTGAGGGAGTTTCTTCCGCTGGTTTGGCATCTTCTGCTGATTTAGTCTTGGTCAGAGTTGCCTGAGTTTCCTTGGCCTGAGCAGCTCGCTTTCCAGATTGCTTTCCTGTTGTCTTAGCTGTTTTTTCTGCAGGCTTTTCAGCAGAAGTTTCTTTGGCTGTCTCTTTAGCATCCTTCGATTCACCGCCATGAAAATGCTTGTAGCTCAGCTGGATAATCTTCTCGTTCTCCTCATCGGTAAGCGGAGCCTTACTATCGTCGATAAGCTAAATGGAATTGAGTAGAATACTACAAGATTTATTGCTATCAGCTTATCCTTACCAACTGCGTGTGAAGGGCACTTGTCGGCGGATCGTTAATCATTTGCAGAACTTCGTGGGATTTGAGTCGGTAGGAGGAAAGGTCTTTTACATAGTTTACGATGTGCTCGCGTGTTTGGGTTTTGCAGGGTGACTCCTCTAGATACTGTAGAGCCTGTGGAGTCCAAGTCATGGTTATTTTTCCATCAATCGGGTGTATGCGACAAAGGTAAACATGCCTCGTAGGTAACTGTGGCCAAGTTCCGCATTCCAAACTTCTTTTTGGTGCTCTTGATCTTCTGCAGAATCTGCATCACCTCCAGATTGGTGAGATACGAGAAGGTTGGATTGATCCTGAGTATAAGCCATAATAAGAAGTTTATATTAACTACTTAAAGGGAAATTATAGATAATAGCTCTCACGTTTCCATTTTAGATCGGCAACTTTGTTTTGGTATGACCTTATGTCGGGCGCTGAAATACACCAGTATTTAATCTTGTCGGTATATTTTTTCGTCACCCCTTTGGCGGGCAACGGTCATACTACTAGGAGGCCTTTTTCTGTTGTTTAACAGCAAATTCCGCCACTGTTATCTTTCCAGCTGCTGTTAAGCGGAATAAGGTGCCTTTGGAATTGGATGTGAATTCGGATGCGGAGGATGCAGATACGGTGATACCTGGAACCAGTGGACAGCATGCATTCCCACACAAACGAGGCTGCAGCGTCGGCGACTCCAACGGCGGGCGTGGTCACCAACGGAACGGGTGGATCTGGCGCTGGTAGAGGGGCCGGCGGAGGAGCACATAGTAGCGCGGAGGGCAAAATCCGATGCATCTTCTTGAGCGAGTTCGATGCCACGGCGGGCTGCAAGATTAGTTGCCAGGTGAGCCCGCTCCCAGAAACATCACCAGCCAACAAAGTCTGATTAGATTACCCAACACTTTCGAAGGTCCCTGATAACTACATATCCAAGGATGTGTTCGATGCCATCAATGTGTACATCATACCGAAGCAGCATTTGCAGCGCTGCATCCTCACCGTTAACGCAATGGACGTGAAGATCGTCGGCTATCCGGTGGGCATTCAGGATCAGCAGAAGTACGCCCGCAACGCCTTCTTATTTAACCTTTGCTTCGTCTGCGATTCGCGCGCCAGGAGCGTCCAGTACGAACCGGTGGTCAAGAAGCTGTCCGAGTACCTTATCATGATGGAGGAGGAGTCCTGCTTCCTGTCGCGCGAGGACGACAAGCGCCGTTTGCAGAAAATCTTTGAGACAGTGCTGCGCGACCTCAACGAACGCAAGGTGGCCACGATTGTCGAGGGCGACAATACCATCTACCTAAAGATTGTCATGCACAAACCAGATCCGCCTCCGGTCAAGGATCACATGGTACCGCTGCTGTTGGCCAACCTACGCGATGCTCCGTTGGATAACTGGGACCTCACCACACAGCAGGTAAGGAATACATTTAGATTTCATGTAACAAATTTTCTATCGTACAAATTTAATGGATCATTTCACGCTCCAGATCCTGCCTTATATCAACGGAATCAATCACGTTGCCCGGATCGCTGCAGAGGCGGATGTGGAAACGGACCTGGTCAAGTCCTGCATACAAAACCTTGTCTACTATGGCGTTGTGCAGCTGCTGCCAATCCTTAAATACAGCAATGTTTATATGACGCAAAACCTAAAGCATCTCATACAGAGTGCGGCGCTAAGCGGCGCCTGTCGAAAATACGTAGCCTTGCGTCCGGACAAAACTCTGCCGAGTGTGCAGCGCATCTTTCAGTTCTACGCCTCGATGACCCACGGCGTCACCCTGCGCGCCATTTGCCAGCGATTATGCCCGCAGAACCACAACATCGACGAGCGACGCATGGTGATCTTCGGGCTGCAGCACCGATTCATCCGCTGTATCCACAAGTACCCGGTGTTTACGGGCTCAGTGCCTTCTGGGCGGCAGAAGATGTACACCGGGCTGATCAGCTTCGACGAAATCTGCTGCAAGACGGGCCTTTCGCCCTGCACAATTGAGCGGGACATCGAGAAAGACACGAATGTGACTGTGATCTGGAAGTGACGACGGAGGAGAAGTCAGTTTGTTGTAGTTTGTAGGCAAACCGATTGTTATGTTTCCAATAGCTTTTTATATACACATATATATACATGAACGGTTAAGAGGACGGTGGTTTGAATGGTTTGAAGCAATCAGGAACCTCCGGGGCTGGAGAGAATGGCATTCTGAACCGCCTGAGCCACACAGGCATCCTCCGAAGCCATGCCTAAGAAAAACAATAATTTCTAACTAAACCATATCGAAACAATTTGTGTTACGAAACCGACAGAGATAACTGCCAATGAAGTGAATTTAAACTTAATTTTAAATCTCACCCATGGATTGAAAAATAGTGATGTCTGCCTTCGCGGGATAGTTCCTATTGAGAACAATGGCTCCCAATTCAGCGGTGATCGGAGCTGGAAGACCTACCAATTCGGCCTCGGCATTGGAATAGCAGTCTACATAGACCTTAGCTTGGTGGTAAATATCAGGAGCCACCTCAGAAAAGTGGACTTCGCCAGCACCCACAGCTAATATTGAAGGGGAATTCATAAAATATCTTTGATCAAAAATATATTCCCAGCCTCACCATTGATGTGAACGCCTTGTTGGCTTTTTAGGTAGTCAAAATGGATGAGCGGCTCCTTGGAGTACGTGGCAATACAGATGACATCGGCCACCTGGCAAGCTTCCTTCGCACTTTGGCATACTGTTATTAGAGTCTCACTTCTGCCGTCCAGTTCCTGCCGCAGTTTCTCTGCCAATTCTTGGGCCTTCGTCGCCGTGCGATTGAAGAGGTTTAGTTGCTTCACCCGGAAGTTGGCACAAAAGGCGGCGGCATGTAGTTGCCCTTGGACGCCGCAGCCCACGATGGCCACGTTGATTTCCCTTTCTGACTCCGCCTGCGAGCCAAAGCGACGGAAGTACAGATGTTTGGTGGCCACCAGCGAGGCGGAAACCGTGCGCCAGGTGGTCAAATCGGTGCCCTCCATAATGGCCGATAGCTGACCCGTCTGATTGTCGAATAGGAGGACATGGGCATGGATGCTGGGCAGCGGCGGATCCCGCTGGGGATTCTTACTGAAGGAGGTCACCAACTTGCAGGCCAGAGTGGAGCAAGGAGTTGGTTTCCCCTCTGGGGATTTGGATCCCGATCCCAGACTGTAGTTTCCCACGAAGGCGGGCATGGTTAAGAGAATCTTTCCGGAGTTACTACCACAGGGGGTGAAACTCCTTTTCGGTTGGATTGCAAAGGACGATTCCTCCTCATCCTGTGGCTTAACTATGGCAACCAGCGCCGATTCAACGGCTTCATTGACCAGCGGCCAGGTGAGAACACGACGCACTGCATCCGCGTTATAATAAACTGGCGAATCGGAGCTCATTATTGTTCAAATTTAAGCTACTTTCGTTCTGATCGTAGTTAATTATTTATTAGTTTTTAAGTCACAAAATTAATTTAAAATGTTATTTTTTCCCTTTAGTTTAGTTTATTAGAGAATTGGAATGTATTGGTTAATCATGGTAATGATCAAAGATCAGCTGGCTAGTGATGCTAGTTCTTATCGGAAGAAGTTAGCAAGTTAGTTATTACACAAACAAGATTTCTTTTTATTTTAAAGATTTACGATGCATTTGCCGATTTTCGCCACTACTTTATTCCAACATTTTTTCTTTAAGGTAATTAAACAAAAAGCAACTTGTTTCCGTTTAAATTCTGGCTGCGCTGTGTATAATTATAAAAAAATTAACTAAAAAATACCGTTACGTACATTAAAATCATATCGAAATCCCATTCGATTGACGATGCGATAGAAAGCGGCAAGATTCAAACAGGTAAATACAAAATAAAGTTTCAAATTTTAAACAGGAAAACCGAGAAGCACAAACCCACCGCAAAGAAGCAAAAAGGAACCTCAAAGCGGGAAAAACCCAACCGAAAAGCAATTTTCACGGGCGACTGTTTTTCCTCATTTCTAATGCAGTTTTCCCCATTCTTCGGCGCGTCTGGGAAAATGCATTTTCACCGCACGCCAAGGGCGAAACCGCAGTGCGAAAAAGGGAAACCGCTTCTGTCAACGGCTTTATCGCGCTCAAAATAATTCTCGCAAACAGCTGGAAACTGAGCCACAGCCCAAGTCCAATCCAATCCAATTCAAACCTCAACGCCGACACGAAAGTGAAAAGCGAATGCACTTTTCTGCGGCTGCAGCTGATAGGAAAAATTAATTTATGCCCCGCCATTGTCTTCCCCCATTTTCCCAGACGCTAATTCAAATTTTGACATAATTTCTTCACTGTTCGCCTCCGCCGCCTGCTTTCTCGCTTTTGTGCCCGGCCAATTTCACTTGACTTGACCTTTGCCTGGCTTTTCCATGGCTTTTCATGCACCAGCAGAAAAAACCAGGGAATTCTATATTCATTTTTTACGAATTTGTATTACTCCGTTCGTTTTTTCCTCTATCTCGGTAAGTAATGTTCCAAATATAGAATGTCATATGATGATGTTACCCCGTACCAAAAATGCGAAAATTTGTTTTTCCCAAAACTATATAAAATTGCTTTAAAAAACCCATTTTTTTTTTAAATATCTGAGGAAGTACTCTTCCAAATGTGGAATAGCATACATTGTTGAATTTGTAATACAATTTCGAATCCGATGGCATTCACACTTAAAATTGTTGAAATTGATCAGATTTTCTTAAAAAAATATGATGTTAAAAATGCTGAAATTGGCCAAAAATCATTTAATTTTTTAAAAGTGATTGGACTCGTTAAATGTGGTCATAACAGTGTTTGGTTCCTACTTGGCCACTAAACCACTAAAACTATAGTGTTTTTAACTCTTTACAGGGTTTTTAACAGGGGTATGCACCATTTTTTTCCAGTGCATGGGCTTGGGCTTCGGGTGGGTCCGGAGCCTTCAGTTGTGGTTGTGTGGCAGCGGCCTTGGGAATGTGCAGTTGCTGGCTGATTTATATTCGCCCCGGAGTGCCACAAATCAAAGTCGAGCTGCTGCGGCTGCTGACTCATTGGAGCGGCTCCTGGTTTGGATAGGCGACCTGTTGCATGCCCCACTACTCCTGGAATCGGGGCGCCGGTGGCACCGCCAGAACTTCGCGAACCACCAATCGCACCACCGGCAGCACCACTTCTAAGTGTTCTGACCTTGCTGGCGAGTAAGTGTCTGGCCATAAATTTTGGCATTGCGCAAAAACCATCGCCAGCCTGTTGAAAAAAACGCCCCGATTCTGTTTTCGATTCCAATCCCAAGAATCCATATCCGAAAAGTGAATTGTCGCCGACGCTTTGAATAAATGGCTGAACGATTTGGCAAGCGCCAAAATTTAATGGCCAAAAAGGATTTTGCCTCGGTTAGCATAAATTAAGCACCCAACACAATGACGAGGCGAACTCTGATTGAGTTTATTGGCCAATTCATGAGAGAAGTTGATTGGGCTGAAAGGATATGTATTTCGATGGCAAGAAATAAAGGTTACCATAATTGGATCTCTTCAGAAATATATTTTAAGTACAGGGAAAAAAGAGGAGTAGATCTTGAAATTCTAAATTATAGAATTTAATAATATTAAACAAATTTTCTAATAAATAGTTTTGAAATCATATAACAAAGTCACTGAGTTTCTGAAGTTTTGCATTCGAAGTGGCTGAAAAGCCAAAGTTTTTTATTTATGCCATTTTGGCTGGCGGCTTTTGAAATTGTAACTGTAACTGTAACTCTAACGGTAACTGTAATAGTTATAGTAATAGTAATAGTAATAGCAACGGCAATATCAAAAGCAAAGCAATACTCTACTAACCACACACAGAAACAGAACGTTGCCACACCTTTTCTTCGCGGAGCTGGATTTTAATTTTTTACTGCCTTATTTTTGCTTAGTTTGTGTTTTTATTTTTGTTTCGGTTTTTTGTTATTGTTTTAGTGCGCGCCCGCACACTTGGCTAATACAGATGCAAACACACACACACACACACACACACATTGGTAATCGCTCGTAGGTTAGAAAAAGGAAAGTCGGCAACGCGAAAAACTCTGAGCTGAAGTTTCGTATTTTGTAGATCAATCTTGGAATGGGTTTGTGCCGTTAGCCGCCGGCGACGTCGTCGCTCACTAAAATGTTGTTTGTCCTTGGAGAATGTGGCAAAAAAGATAGAAAAATGGTATGGAAAAAATTGTTAAATTATAATATACATATGCACACTGTTACCGTTGAAATGCACGCGAAGAAATTCACTGCAATGGAAGTCCTTACATTTGGTTTACAACATTATGTTTGCCAGTTTGGTAAGGATTACTCAAATGTATGGCCCTAATTTTTGCTTTAAATATTTAAAAAATATAATCAAATAATTACCTAAGCACACTTTTGAGAAAACAAGTAAGTTTTAAAAATGTGAATATCAAAAATATTGATTCTTACTGTTGAGTAATTTTTAAAAAGTACTAATTTTTATCTTTATAACTCAAAATGAAAGAGACAAATATTAATTTATAATGTTGTTAATAATAAATATTTATTTGTATACTTATTTAAAGTAATAGAGTTTTTATTTAAAGAAATTAAGGATATTCGTGATTGATTTTTTTTTCAGTGCTGAGTTATATGTGTGCACATATCTGACGACGACTATAATTGTGCCGTTATGTTTAGCGTTGGCGCCGCACCCAATGGACTTCACCGAGCTGCCCGTTACCCTTCCCTCCCCCCCCTCCCCCCTTCCCCCCTTCTCAGTTGACTCCCCAAACCCCGCTCCACCAATTAGATTCGATCGGCAAGTATTATTTCTTGTTATTGTTGTCGGACTCATTGCAACCATTGGCTTGGTTCGCTTTGTCTAATGATTTCGATTATTGGTTTTTTATTTTCCCCGTTTTTTTTCTGGTTTTTTACAACATTTTTGTTTAGTTTTTTACAACTTCCGTCTGTGCACTTTGCATAGAGCATAAAAATGCCAGAATCAAACGAAACCGAAATGACATCTAATTAAAATACAGCAAGTGGTAGCGGGAAAGTGATTCTGTATTGTATAACAATTGATATTACCCATTTTTTTACAGCTTAATTAATTTTTATTTCATTTACTTGGAAAAAACATTAAATTTAGTCTTTATGAAAAGTCCGACCCACATTCCTATCGAAGTTTAGCAATAAATAACTGCAATAGAACTTCGTAAATACCTTAAATCGTAGCAATATAGCAATAATAATATTTAGTTACAGGCCTCAAAATTTATGCGGTGGCCCTTAATGAGTCTTCATGACTGCAATTGCTACACTTCAACTTCACTGCCCGACTTATTTTAGCTGCCCCTTTCGAACGCCCACTGAATAATCCAGGGCCTAATATTTCAGAGGCCTATGATTAGCATATTTTCCCCACCAGTTTCCCCTGTTTCTGCGAGGCTTTGAGCCGTGTTTCGTTTCCACTAACTTGGCTTTCAGCCGTTCCGTTGGCTTTCAGTCGTTTCGGCCACGATCGCTTGGGCATCGGTTTTCTTCGTCTCTGGGACTTTTTTGGCTCGACTTTGCTTCCAGACGGGCCGCCGTTTTTATCAGCCAGTCAGTCAGTGTTTCGCTTTCGGCCAGAGCTGACGAACTTCCTCTTCTCGCTTTTAGCCTGGCCAAAAAGGGCAGGCGAACCGTTCAAAAAGTTAGCGGGTGTGAAGTGGAGTGACTTATGAGTTGATCAAATTTATCACTTTTTATTTGCGGGTAAATCACATTTTTTTCCACAGCGCTGAGTTTTTACCTAACTTCTGTTAATCGCTACATTTTTGTTACTTCTTTTTGTTTTTGTGAATTTGTTAATACACATCTAGTAAATATATACAGCAGTGAGTTATAAAATACAACGACAACAACAGCAGTTCATAATAATAAAACAAAGCGAAGCGGGAGAAACAAAATTTCTTATATGCAAATTAAATAATTTTGTTTATGGTGCAGCCAAAAGAATCCCAAAAAGTGCAAAAAAAAAAAAAAAAGTCACAAATATACAGAAATAATATTATTTGAAAATTGAACCTGTTTTGATGGAGGCTGGATCCGGCGATTGAGGTAAGCTGATTTATTTTGGCCTAATCATATTCATAAACTGCTCAAACGCGTCGCAATACATCTCCCATAAAGAATAGCCACAAATGGGGTACAAAAATAGATCTTAACAGCGAATGACCTTATTCCCCTGACCGAATTCTGATCTATTTGAGCTGCAGTTCTGCAACGTTGACTTGGACTTGGCCAAAACCCAAGAGGGGCAGCAGTAAAACACTTCCGATCCCACTGAACCGCAACCATCTCGATGGAAGAAAGACGACCTTGCCCATGACCAAAACCAGAACCAGAACCCACCTAATGTGTGGATATTTCAGGGCGAGGAAGTCCGGTTGGGCTGAAGGACGATCGAGTGGCGGAATTAAAGCAAGGGCGGAATAATCTAAGCTGAATAGTTGCTAGTTTTCTATCAACAACATTAACAATTAGTTCAAAAGATTATGAGACTTATTTTTGTATTATACGGAGAAATTAATGGGGAATACAATGTTTATTTAATGATTATCTGAAATTTATTTAAAGTACATTTTCTAAATACATTTTCAGTAATAGAATTCAGAAAAAAAATTGATAAAGTTATAAAATTTACAAAATGATGTTAAGGTTCTCGCAATGCGTTCAACACACTTTGGAATTTTGTAAAAATTATTTTAAAAAGTCATCTACTTTTTTCTTTAAAAGATATTCTAAATTTGTTCTTATCAAATTTTTGTCCCACATATAATATGTTTTTCGTTCATGAAGCGAAGACTTTAAAACCTTTGATTCAACTTTATAGGTTCCTTGCAAACAACTTCTTTATTTATGGTTCGTGCTTATTGGATTGGGGTTGCCCCATCGCTTACCCAATTTCGGTTGCATCCAGTGGAGTGAAAAAAGGGACCCGCAATGACCACAAGTTGGCAGCTCTGCGGCATTAAAAAGCACTTTAGGCACTTACCTTTTGACCCGACCCAGTTCCATATGTCACAAAAGAACAGCGTCAGTCGGTGGTTGTTGCTGTTGTTGTTGTTGTTTGTGGTGTTTATGGTGTTTATGTTGTAGTTGTTATAGTCTCCACTCCTCCAACTGAAACACCCTCTCACCGAAAAAAGAACAACAAAAACGAAACAAAGTCAAGCGTTGTTCCATATGCACATAAAGCAAATTGCATTAACATTTAGGCCTACGCGCATGTGCCGCCCACTTTGCGACTGTGACGCCGCCTATGTGCCACACCACTCGTTCCCCGCTCCATTCCGCAGCGGTCGCCGTTCCATTCCACCTCGTACCCATTGTGCTTTATCAGCTGCCCAAATCCCAGCGATCAGTCGCAATTCAAAGTGCGCGCTGTGTGGAGCAATTCAAATCGCTCAACACTTTTCCTCCTCCGACGGCGGTTCTTTTTCAAAAATACTAAACTGAAATGATATGATATGAGGAGTTTCGAAAATAATCGCTGAATATATATGAAATATCACAACTAACGGTAACTGGCATGCACTGCCTTTAAATTTGATTATTATCAGCTATAACGCTGTGCCTTTTTTTTTGGGTTTTTCGCCGCTCAATCGTTAATATAAAATAAAAAACAAGGTGCATCCAGTCAGTGAAACAAGCCATAAATTAGCAAAAAGGTATGCGTATTGCTCATAAGAGTGATGATGATACAGGCCCAAAAATTAGCCACTTAATATGGACGAAGTGATGTGTGCATGTGAAAGTGACGGCAACCTTTTCAGAAATTTAAAACCAAAACAACAGCCGCAACAAAAAATTACAAATGTTAAACTGGATGCAAGAAACATGTCTCTAAAAGTACAAAAACTCAAAATGGAAAATAAACAATGAAATGTTTTAAGATATAAATGAGAGTGATTTGAATATTTAATTTCTAATTTGAAATATGATTTTACTTTTGATGTTCTTATTAATATTGGAACAATAGGGAACCAGTTTTGGGTATCAAATAAAATTTCAGATTGTAATTGCGAGTTGGTAATATATGTTGTCTGGAACTCAATGGTTTATTAAATATTTAAATTCTAATTACTAAGCCTTTGGATTTGAATGTGATTGTCATTTAAAAAAAATGGGGAATGAATATCACGAGGTACTTACTAAATTATTTTAGGTTAGGTAGGTTGTTGAACCAGAAGGCTTTACCCTCCTCTACCCATCTACTTTATTCCTCCAGAAGATTCTATACTAGCTCAATTCAAATAAAAAGTGTTCTCCTCCCCAAAAAAAGTATGTAATTATAAATAAAAGCAAAAATTGTTGAAGCCCAAAACAAAGTTAAACAATACTTTGCTTTTATCCAATGAGGAACTCTTTGGGATCTGCGCTTTTTGCTCCGCTTTTTGTTGCGATCGTGGATAAACTTTCGACACAACCCGGTCATGTCCCCATAACTTCCCATTTCTCTTGTCGCTGGTCAAGAGTCTTCAGCACTTTGTTCAATTGAAATTTTTCGTAAATTTACTTTCTGCGATTGTTGCCTGCCGTTTGGCCGTTCGGCACTCGTACATACAGTATAGTATAGTATGTCGGTGTGTCGCTCGGCTTTGGCTCACTTTGGCAGCTTTCTTGCATAATAAACAAGATCAGGCTCAGCACACAATGTGCAACATTAGGCCAATGTTGGTACGTGGACACACTCCTCCGTGTGGCAGGGGCAGGGGCAGGGGCAGGGGCTACCTGAGTGGGGCATGGGGACAATCATGGACAGCGGGCGCTAAACTGCTAAGAAAACAAAAAGCGAAAAAGCAGCAGGCAAGGTACACTCGACCGAATAGTTTGCACATAAGTGGAGCTCTTAAATTGTTTATCAGAAAATGATTTCTTCAAAAGTTATGAACATTTATAAAGAGTTTTTAATGTCAGATTTTAATTAGGCTTTTTAAATTGTTTAAATTTATGTTATTTATCCGAATGAAATTTTGATACTAATTGGTGTAGCAGTTTCTCTCAGTGCAGCGGCAACATGCACCGAAACAAGCGATCTCGGTGGCTACTTTTGCTCTCGTTTCGACTGCTGCTGCTGCGTGAGGCACATGGATAACTGGATAACTTGGACAGTTTCCCGTTACCACTGCCCCTGCTCCCCATTCCCCCTCTCTTTCACTTTGGTCGTGTTCGCTGTGAACCTGCCACAGCAACAACAACAATAACAACAATAACAACAACAACAACAAAGCACCGAAAATAAATCGCCAGCCGCAAAAGTTTGCAAACTTTTTAACTTCACAATAAATACAACAAGCGGAAAAAAAACTGTTGCTCCATTTCGGAGATCAGCGAACCCTTTTTGTCTTTGTTTTCGATTTGAATATACATATATTAAAGTCAGTCGATAGACACAGTAGAACCTGCATATATAAAACACTATCTCATAAAGAATAGAAATTATGTTATACTTCAGAAGCTGCATTCATTGCTTTCATTCCATATATTCACAAAATAAATATCCCAATGTAAGTAGGACTTTAATATTAAATGAGTTGAAGTTTTGGGTATGACCTCCTTGTGGAGCCTTTCATCCGCCAGTCGATCTGATAAGATGCGATGAGATTGGAGTGGGGTGGAAGCACCGCCAGCTTTGATGGGCCCCGCGACGGGGGATCCCCATAATTTGTTGCTCTTGTAAAATGCGGACGCGTGGCACGAGTCGAGTGCGATCGAATCCCCGAGTCGAGCGAGCCATAATTGCCGGCACTCACACACACACATACACGGGGAAAGAGTTCCATCAGACAGACACTCGAGGAGTTGCAAGTCCCCGATGGCAACTCGCCACTCGAGAGATCCAAACCCACAGACCTCCACTCCGCTGGCGACTCTGGGACAAGTTAGAGCCAAAAAGACCCGGCCAACAGAGACCCGGCTGAACGAGCGTCGTGCCCAGCGATCTGCATTGTTTGGCAAATTTGTTAGCCAAAACTTATTGCAAACTTTATTTTTTTAGCTGTCTCCGCGTCTATTGCTGGCTTCCCTACCCTTGCCGAAGGTATTGGCTATTTTTCAAAAGGTTTAACACGTTTTCAACAACATATTTGAATGCTGATTGCTCTTTTTACTAGCAAAAGTATAACAAAGTTTCGTTTGTACTTAACTTGATTCCAAATTAATTTATTTTGGAAAAAAGGTTAGGGCATTTCCCATTTTTTATCATCTCCGCTTAACTTCCTTGCTTTGGTTTTTTCTTTTTGAATACTTTTTGGTTTCTTGCTGTTTTTCTGACCAAAAGACGACGTCGACAACAGCTTCTTGTAATTATGGCGAGATCCTCGAGTTGCTGACACCTTGGCAATGTTTATCTTGTGTCAACTCTGAATCTGAAAGATAAACTTCGCCCACATGCCACAAAGAGTCGGTGTCGAGTGCTCGCATCTCTGAAATGCCACTGCAAGATGACAAAGTGCAGCATTCAGTCGGCAGCCAGAATGGTAACAAAACATAAGCCATTTCGGGAGATTTTGTAACTTCAGGGGTTAAGTATAGCTTGAGATCTGGTGTGTTAAACCATAGATATAGATAAATCTATACGTTAATTACACCCTTGTAGGGGGTATCAGTTTTAAATCTATCTTGCTAAAACCATTTTAAAAGGTATGTAGTTGTAATGATTTTATGCAATTCATATTCTATTCTAATTTTATATGACACCTGATTGAATGCTGATATTGATATATATATAGATATATTTATTAGAAGATGTTATACGCAAGAACACCGAAGGTTCCTCCCACAGATTTCGATCTACCAGACAGGGTTATAATTTAATTAGTGGGTTGTGCAATATACGATGCAAATCAAGCATTAACCGACTAATGTTCGGTGGTGGGATGCCTCATTTATGGCTCGCGCTCCGTTTTTGGCAACTTCAAAGGGTAACCGCAGGCGAAACCACTGCCCCACCACCGCACCACCGCATTGCCGCACCACTGAATCGCTGGCCGAATCGAAAAGTAAAACATTTAGTGGGCAAAAGTTTAATTAAAGCAAGGCGCAAGGCATGTTCG